CTGTATGGGACCCTATACAGATCCGATACAAACTATATGGAACCCTATACAGATGCAATACCGACTGTATGGGATCCTGTACAGATCCGATACAGGCTGTATGCGATCCTATACAGATCCGATACAGACTGTATGGGATCCTGTAGAGATCCGAAACAGACTGTATGGGATCCTGTACAGATCCGGTACAGACTGTATAGGATCCTATACAGATCCGATACAGACTGTATGGGATCATATACAGACTGTATAAGATCCTACACAGATCCGATACAGACTGTATATATAAGATCCTATACAGATCCGATGCAGACTGTGTGAGATCCTACGCAGATCCGATACAGACTGTATAGGATCCTATACATATCCGATACAGACTGTATGAGATCCTATACACATCCGATACAGACTGTATGGGATCCTATACAGGTTCGATACACACTGTATAGGATCCCATACAGATCCGATACAGACTGTAAAGGATCCTACCCACATCCGATACAGACTGTATGGAATCCTGTAGAGATACGATACAGACTGTATGGGATCCTATACTGATCCGATACAGACTGTATGGGATCCTGTAAAGATCCGATACAGACTGTATGGGACTCTATACAGATCCGATACAGACTGTATAGGATCCTACACAGATCCGACACAGACTGTATAAGGTCCTATACAGATCCGATACAGACTGTATAGAATCCTATACAGATCCGATACAGACTGTATGAGTTCCTATACAGATCCGACACAGACTGTATGGGATCCTGTACAGATCCGATACAGACTGTATGGGATCCTACGCAGATCCGGGACAGGCTGTTGAGGATCCTATACAGATCCTATACAGACTGTATCGGATCCTATACAGACCCGATACAGACTGTAAAGGATCCGATACAGATCCGATACAGACTGTATGGGATCTTTTACAAATCCGGTACACACTGTATAGGACCCTATAAAGACCCGAAAAAGACTGTATAGGATCCTATACAGATCCGATACAGACTGTATAGGATCCTATACGGGTCCGATACAGATTGTATGGGATCCTATACAGATCCGATACAGACTGTATGGGATCCTATATAGATCCGATACAGACTGTATGACCCTATACTGACCCGATACAGACTGTATAGGTCGGAGCGCCTGCCTGGCCTGCGGCGTCCGAAAGTTGAGGTGCGTGATGTTCGCGTAGTGGGTGCAGGGTAGCTCGATTGACGCGAACTGCGGCCTTGAGGCGTAGTACAGGTCGTACGTCGTGTCGAGGTCCTTCTGCTTGCGTAAGTCCTATCCGTACTTGCGGTCGATCACCTCTGTGGCCGTCATCTGGCGCTTCCACGCCGCCTCGGCGATGCCGCCTTCGCCTCCGAACACCTGCATGACGTCCACGCTGTGGCTGCGAACGCTGTAGGCCTCCTTGACGTCCTGGACGTGGTCGACCACGTCTCGCGCAGCACTGGTAGCATGCTGCACTACGGGCTTGAGAGGTCTAGCCAGCCAGTCCGCGGTGAGCACCGTCTGAAAGGCGAAGGCGCTCAGCAAGCCCGTGACCTGGTAGAGGAGGCCGACGCGCTTGCCCTTCTTGATGCCTGGCCGCCGCCTCGGAGCTGGCGACCCGTCCTGGCGGCCACCGCCACCTAGTCTCTGCTCTGCTGAGGTTCCCGGGAGCCGCTCGGGCGATCCTCCTTGTCGGTCTCGCCCGCCTTCTCGAAGCCCATGTCGCTGGTGTCCATCTCGTGCGGCTCCGGAGGTCGTTGGCGCCGATGCCCGGCCCAGCTCCCCTGGCTTCCTGAGGCCCGCGTGGTCGTCGCCGCTGGCGCCACCCATTCGTCGTCCAGCACCACCTCCTCGGCCATCGCTGCCTCCAAGGTGGTCTTGGCCTTCTCCGGGGGAAGGGGCTGCGCACCGTGCGCCTTGACCCGCCTGGCAAACCGCGCCAGGAGTGGGCTTGCCCGATTGTTGCTGAGCTCCAGGACCGCCCACCGCGCGTAGCCCAGGCGTTCTTGAGCACCCAGCGGTAGTCCACCGTGGGGTACTTGCCGAAGCGCATCTTGTCGGCCCCAGTGATCTGAGAGCTCGGATGAGCCACCGTCGCCGCGGCACTGCTGACCGCGTCCTCGACCTTCCAGCCCTTGAGGCGCTGCCTGAGCTCCGGCACGGGCGCGCGCCGGTCGAACTCGATCTGGCGGCCCCGACACAGCTGCGGGAGCTCCTCCTTGTTCTTCTTGCCGAGCCCCGGGATGTAGTCGCCCTGCGGCGTGCTCTCGCGGCCCTCGGCCCTCAGCGCACGCAAGATCACCCGGAGCTGGTCGCACGTGGCGTCGCGCGCATCCCGGTCGTAGCTTGCCACCTCGGCCTGCAGCTCCGGCATCCGCATGCTGGATATCGCCGGAAGACGGGCAGTACTCGTCGTCGGCAAGTTCTGGTTGCTGCCCGCCGGGCTCGTCTCCTTGGGAGACGTCGTACATCGCTGGTGCGGCGGGGGCATAAGCGCCGCCCGCTGGTTCGTAGAAAGCTGCGGTGGCTGGATCTGCCACGGCACGCGTCGCACTCGCTTGTGGAGCCACAGTTGAACTTGAGCGGGTTGGCTGCGGTGATGATGTAGTTTGATGACAACGTGCTGATGGCTGATCTCGTGGCTCGCCACGGCTTGCTTGCTGCTGAAATCGAACATGCCGTGACGGAGTATCGCTGCGAGGTTTAGCTCCTCGTTCGTCATGATCGTAGCTTGCCTGCATAATCTGTGCTGTGCTGACTGACCTAGTACGCACTCCCCAGGCCTCGTCTTCCGATCCCGATGACAATTGACGTGATGGAATGCATGCGCTCATGGCCTGGCGCACCTGCTGCTCGAACAGTTCGGCGCTATCGAGCGCATTGCAGTCAGTATCCGACTGAGACTCGTCGGCCTCCGAGGCAACTTCTGGGTGGCGAGCCTCCGGCCCCGCCGGCTCGGCGGCGCTGGCCGCAGCTGCCTCAGCACGGTAAGAAGCGCAAGGATGAAGACTAATCTCGGCCTCGGTATCCGAGACGTCCAAAACGGGCATATATTTCGGCGTGAAGCCTGCGATGTCCAGCGTCGGGTGTCCGGCGCGGCTCAGGCCCATCTGGATGTTGTGCTCGTCGATCGACTTGATGTCCAGCTTGTTGTCTCCGGGGTGGTAGACTGTGTCCAGCTCGCTCTGGGCCTTGCGGCTGACCAGTCCCGGCACGGCGCTGTGCGCAATGCTCATGCGGACGGCGAAGGCCTTGCCGTTCACCGAACAAGGAATCAGCGCTGCTTTGAGGCTGAACACCACCTTCGACGCCCCGAACCGGAACGGCTCCTTCTCGGGGTACTCGATGGGCTGGATGTTGAAGGCGGCCAGCCTCTTCTTGATGTCATTGCACCAGTCGAGGCCGCCGACGCACCGCGCACAGGCCGCGTCGAAGGTCAGCTTGCCCCCGGACTCCTTCAGCAGGTCCCCGACGCTGAGGTGGATAAGCGCCGAGCTCGTCGCGGCCATCAGGCACTGGTGGTCCTTGTGGATGAAGAACTCCGCCGCCGTAACTTCTTCGGGTAGCTCGGCGGCCTGGCGCATCTGCGTCCAGTCAATGCTGCGCAGCGCGCCGTACTTCCTGTTGCGAGCCGCGGCCCGCTGGTCCTGCTGGTAGACCGCCGCGACCGTCATCTCCGCCACGTGAGGCTCCTGCACATTGCTGGTCTCGTGCGTGGCGATGTTCGTCCTGTTGCTTCCCTTCTTCGGGATGTCGGCCTTGGCATTAGGGTCATTCTTCTTCGAGCACTGCGGGTCACCGCGCCAATGGTCCTTCTGGCCGCATGCGCCGCAGCGTGTCCTTGCCTTCATCTTGGCGATCTTGGGATCGTCCTTCTTCGGCGGGGTGCCGCCGTCGCGCTTGGCGAAGTAGCCGCGCGCCTGCTTCGCCTCCTTCAGCTTGTCCTTGGCGCGCACCATCTTCTTGGTGAAGAAAGCGACCTGCCCCTCCGCCTCGTCGATCGCGTCCTGCAGCTCGTCGGGCAGCTCGTCCTCGTAGTCGTCGGAGCTGTCCGAGGACGCGCCGTCGAACTCGGCCCTACGATCCTCCACGTAGGTCTCCGTAGCGTACGCCCGCTTGTGGTCCTTGTTCTTGTGACCTCCGTAGCCTCCTTTGTCGTGGCTGTCCTTGTTGCCGTCCACGACCGATACCTTAGGCAAGTTGATCATCAACTGCTCCTGGATCTTGGTGGGGTTGAACTGGTTGCCCACACCGTTGAGCACACTCGCCGCGCGCTCTGGGGGCAGGCGGGCCCCCTTGATGTACAGGTCGGCTAAGACCTCGTCGGGCACCTGGATGCCCTTGGCCTTCAGCTTGGCGGCGATCCCATGGAAGCGGTTGCTGTAGTCGCGGATCTCCTCGTACTTGTGCCGGACGCAGGCCGGGCGCACGAAGGTCTCCAGCAACGCTGGGGTCTCCAGCACTTCGATCTCGGGAAAGCGCTTCCCGAGGTACTCCAGGAACACCTCCACCGAGTTGTCGCCCTTGATGGCGTCCAGGTCGAGCTCCTCGCACGCCTCCTCGGCCTTGCCCTTGAGGCTGGCCAGCAAGGTCGCTCCCTGCTTGGGCGGCTTGACCTCGGTGCCGATCTGCCAGGTGGCGACCTCTCGGCAGTACTTTTTCATGGTCTTGCTCGTGCCATCGAAGACGGGTACGGGGATCTTGCCCCCGTTGCTCTTGTCCCCGCCGCTGGCTGCAGCGGCTCCTCCTGTCGCCATGATGGCGACCCCGAATGAGAGGTACAGTCGCAATGACACGAGCCTGTAGTGCTTGCTAAATGACTCTGCAAAGTCGCGCACGTAGCTGCCGTGGTCCAGTTAGCTCCTGCTACCAATGCAGACCCGATACTGCGTGAGGGGTCTGAATGCGATGAAAACCGCGAGGTTGTTATTGTCAGCAATGACGTGAAAGTATCTGCGAAGATATCAGCAATGATAGGCGATTGATGTTGCTTAGCGGCACCTGCGAGGTGTCTACCGATACGCCCAAGCTCAAGGGCCCTTAAAGGATTGAGCCCAAATAGTTACGAAAGAGCATATGCTTGCTGGCATGCTATGCTACACTGCGTACAGATCAGCACTGACACTATTTATTTCACAGGAGGGCTCCAGGGACTCCGCGGAGATGTCGGAGTCCGCGAGGTGTCGCTCGGCGGGTCGTTCATGGCCTCTCTGCTGGCCAGCTCCACTCCAAGCAACTCGGGGGCAGTGTACATCTCGGCCGTGGGATGGACCGATGTGCCGTTGCCCGGGCGATGCTCGGGGAGGGTCTCTTGGCCCGTGGCGGGCCTCCTCATGTAGGGTAGGTCTCCGTCAGTCCAGGTGGCCGAAACCCCAGGAAGTCGGAGCCCCAGAGGCCTGCGGATCAGGTTGGGGCGCCCACGGACCATCCTGGAAGTCGAGGGCTGCCTCGGTGTGGGCGCCGCGCTGGATGCCGCCCAGGCCAACGCTGGCCTTGGTCGCTGCTCGCGGACGGCGGGGAGATTGTCGCCCGCGAGGCTCGCCATCCTTGCCAGACCACGAGTGGGGGGATCCTGTAGATCCTGTAGTGTAGCGCAGGATACCTCGCCTAAAAAATTACTCGAGCCAAATCATGCAGTGAAAGCTAACATGAACTGGCATTGGGGTGGGCCGAATTGCGGTGAATGGAAGTGGGCCGAGCTGAGCCCCCGGCTGGGTAAAGCATGCCGCCAGAACCTAAGTTTACCCCTGTTCGGATATATCCGGGTGCATCTCTGCCCCTTATCCCCTATAATCTAAGATAGGGGTATTGTTTTTTGTGTCTCGCCTCCGCCTTCTCATCCTCTCCTCCCGAATCCTCCTCCTTCCTCTCCGTTGCGAATCGCACTCAGCCGCTCATACTTCCAAACACTCACACTCAGGTTCCGTCACACGCAGTCTCCCTCCCACAGACACTCACACTCAGAAAGGTCATACTCATATTCACTCATATTCAGACTCACTCATGCTCAGGTTCACTCACACTCAGACTTCACACTCAAACTCCTCCCCCGCATCCTGAGATTGGGTCATCGTTCCGCATTTCCTAAGATAGAACGGTTGCTTTGATTAGTGTGACGCCTCCGCCTCCTCACACCTCCCGCCCCCTCCGTGCTCCCTCCTCGTACTCTGACATGCAGTCACGCTCATGCTCACCACATTCATACTCCACTCCAGTCGCACTCATGCTCAAACCATTCACGCGGAGACTCATCCGCCGCCCTCAGACCCACTCGCAACGAGACTCGCTCTTCTAATCTGAGAGCTCCTCCCGGCACAACGCACAAATAACACATACACTAAGTCGCTCATACCCCTGATCACCGACACGCAGACCCACTCAAGGATGATAGTAAGGGGCTCCCTACTGCGACACATAGTAGAAGCTCCCTAGTACGACTCATAGTGGGAGCTCCGTGCTACGACTCATAGTAGGAGCTCCCTGCTACGATTCATAATGGTACCTCCCAACTACGACTCATAATACAAACTCCCTACTGTGAGTCATAATAGGAGCTCCCTAATACGATTCCTAGTAGGCACTCCCTGCGATTCGTCATAATAGAAAACCCCTACTACGAGTCATAGTAGAGACCACCTCCGATGAGTCAGAGTAGGAGCTCCCAGGTACGACTCATAGTAGGAGCCTCCTACTACGATTTAAAGTAGAACCTCCCTACTACGACTCATCATACAAACTCTCTACTATGAATCATACTAGGAGCTCCCTAGTACGACTCGTAGTCGGCACTCCCTGCGATCAGTCATACCAGAAAACCCCGACTACGAGTCATAGTAAAGACCACCTCCGATGAGTCATCGGAGCTCCCTAGTACGACTCATAGTAGGCGCTCCTCACGATCAGTCATCGTAGAAGAACAGCTTGCATGAGCCATCGTAAGGACAACCTACTATGAGTCATAGTAGAAGATTCCTGCTACGACTCATCGTAGCAGCCACGTACTACGACTCAAAGTAGGGACTCCCGACTATGAGTCATAGTAGAAGCTCTCTACTACGAGTCATAGCTAGGGAGCTCCCTACTACGACTCTTAGTAGGAGCTCCCTACTACGACTCATTGTAGGGGGACTCCCTGATACGACTCATAGTCGGGACTCCCTAGTACGACTCATAGTAGGAACTTCTTACGATTTGTCAGAATAACAACTTCCTACTATGGGTCATAGAAGAACACCCCCTACGATGACCCTCAGCAGAAACCACCAACTATGAGTCATGGTAGGAACTCCCTACTTGGACCTACTATGAGTCATAGTAGAGACTTGCCACGATGAATCATAGTAGGGACGCCGTACTATGAGTCATACTAGAGACTCCCTACTATGATTAAAAGTGACCCCCATACTATGAGTCGTAATATCCCCTATTCTTAGTCATCGTAAAAACTCCCTGCTCCGGCTCACAACAGCAGCTCCCTGCGCTGAGTTGTTCTAGAGACTGGGAGCTCCCTACGATGCGTCCGAATATGAAAAACCTAATTACTATGAGTCATACTGACGATCCCCGCTATGACTCACAGTAGCCCTGCGATGAGTCATGGTAGAGACCCCCTACTATGAGTCATAGTACGAACTCCCTGCTATCACTCCCACTAGGGTATCCTTTCTATTAATCAAAGTGGGGGTGCGCCGGAATTTGACCTGGAGACGCATGCGGGCCCTGCTTCTGGGACCTTCGAAAGAACTCCGTGTGGGGCCGAGGGAGACGATCCTCGTGAGGGATGTGCCGAAATTGGCGTTCCGCGGGCTTGGGGACACATGAGGGCCCTGCCACTGGGACCTTCGGAAAAGCTCCGCGTGGGGCCACGGCTACGTTTTTTCCTCAAGGGTGTGCCGTTGGTCTCCCGTGGGCCTGGGGACGCACGCGATCACTGCAAATTAATGGGACCTTCGGAAAAACTCCGCATGGGGCAAAAGCCACGATCCTCGTGAGGGGTGTGCCGAAATGAAGCTTCGGTGCGCCCTCGGTGGAGTTCCCTGTGGGGCCAGCGCCACGATGCTCGCGAGGGATGCTAGAATCGGGCCCGTGGACGCATGCGGGCCCTGACACCGGGACCTCCGGAACAGCTCCGCATGGGGCCAGGGCCACGATCCTTGGAGTGGTGCGCCGAAGTCGGGCGCCGGTGGGCCTTCGATGGAGCTCCTTCCGTATTGGCCCAGGTGGCCGATCCTCGTGGAGGGTATGCCGAAATTTGACCTGGGGATGCATGCTGGCCGTGCCACTGGGACCTTCGGAAAAGCTCCGCGTTTGGGCCAATGCAACGAACATCCTGAAGGGTGTACCGAAATTGACCTTCCGTGGGCGCGGGGACGCATACAGGCCCTGCCACTGGCACCTTCGGAAAAGCTCCGCATGGGGCCAGGGACACGATCCTCGTGAGGGGTGTGCGGACATCATGGCCGAGGACGCACGCGGGCTCTGCCAATGGGCCCGTCGGAAGAGTTCCGTATTGGCCCAGGGCCACGATCCTCGTGAGCGGAGCAGCAGCGGTGCAGCGGCCCAGAAGGACGCGGCGCGGGACCTCTTCCCCGGCACTGCGCCAGGCTGGAAAATAGATCAGCGCAACGTAGGACAAATTGATCAATGGTGTGAAACATACTGACACACTACAGGCGGGCAAAACAGCACAAACCAGCACGGGCGCGCCACGGGGCGCGGCCCGACCCTCCCAAGGAGGGAGGGGTAATGCCCACGGGCACGCCCGCGCCACCCTGCGTTCTCTTCGAGGCGCCCAGCAGGGGCGAAGAGGAGGGACAAGTAGAAAACCAATAATCAATCGCACCAGCGCTTGCGCTGGGTTCCGACGCTTCGCCGCGCGTGCACTCGAAACCACGGCACCCATCTCATCAGACGGGCGCCCCATCGTTCATCTTCCATTGTAGAAAATTGGACGGCAGCCGACCATTTGTTTTCCAAGAAAATGTTTGTCCAGTGCTGGACCCCGCGTCTCCTTGCGAGTGGCTCGCGCGCGCCCGTGGCCTTGCGCGCGCAGCCCGCCCGTGGCTCGTCTGGTTGGCGCCCCACGCCGACCATGCGTCGCAGCATCCTCCTCTGTGTTGCGCGACGGCGCCTTTCCTGCTCGACTGCCAGAGCCCAGGCAAAACAGACTACATTGCGCGGGGCGCAACGGCGGCGCGGAAAAGCCTCACGAGATCATGCAAGGGCATGCCTCGATTGCATATCATATTCTTCCGGCTGCAACAAAAGTGCCCATGCAAACGAGATTCGGTTGTTCAGCTCCGCCCTGTGGCAGTCGTTCAAGGTGAACTCGCGGCCGAGGTCTTTATCCGCCTCTCCTGGCTGTAACGCACGCGCGTCGTTGCCGGCGCATTGGATGTCTGCCGGCCTCGTTGCTGACTTGGTTACCACCGCGGTTTGACCCGCGTGCAGTTTCAAACCGTACTTCTGTGCTTCGGTGCAGTTTCACGATCGTTGGGCCCCCATCTCTCTCGCGGCAGACAGCAGGAGCACGTCGTCGGCGATCCTTGAGTTGCTCAGGGCGTTCGCAGCGCCGTCGACAACGATGCCATAGTATTCGCCAGCGAGCCTGCCGTCGAGGCTGCCCCACCTCTTCTTGAAAGACCGGAAGATCTGCTGAATGACAACCCCAAAGAGAAACGATCTGATCGGGTCGCTGTGCTTGGCGCCCCAGGACATGCTGAACGCGTGGCCTCGCACCCCAGCAGCAACAGAAGCCGATCGTACTGCATGCAGCCTTCTTAGTAAGTTTATGCATGCTGGCAGGACATTCGGATTGTCTCACGCTGACAAAACAGCGCCACATTCCACAGCGTCGACAACCTTCTCGAAGTCCACCATGCCACCCACAGCTCAACATCTGCGAGGCGTCCCCCTTCTCGTGGATGACGGAGATTCTGGCTGATAACCAGTCCGCTGGCAAGTCAGCAATAGGGCTGGGCAGCTGGTTGAACGCTTCAAGGATGATTTCTCGCAAGATCGAAAAGTCTACCTTGAAGAACTCTGCTCGCGCGCCCTGATCGTCCGCCGTCTTGCCGTTCTTCATATCCCGAATTGCAACGGCGAGCTACTCCTGCGTAAACGGGTGAATCAAGTTGTCAGGTTGCCTGCCGTAGACGTGCTCTCTGCTACCTTGTCTGGTGCTCGCGTAGAGATTCTCGAAGGTCGCCAAGACGTCGGCAATGTCTTCGCGCTCGCGCAGCAGCGTGCCGCCTGGGCCTTTCATCGAAAGGATGAGGTCGCGCTTGCGGTTCCCCCGCATGCCCCGTAGGTCCCTCACTCCTTTGAGGTCGGCCCCAGTCGTCTCGATCTGGCTGAGAGTCGCCTCGCTGCGCCGCCTGCGCATCAAACTCTGCGCGCGTGTGCCCCAGTTTTTCGGATCTCCTTCGCTGGCAAATCACGGAAATCTGATTATTGCAGAAGGCGGCACTCAGCAAACAGGGAATGGCTCTGCTTGTCCAGATCGGCCACGTTCGTGCCAGAATGGTTATTCTCAACACTCTTCTTGTCGCCCCTTGCGACGAGAAGCGTGCTTCTGTTCAGCAAATCGACTCGCTCGTGCGGCGCGGCGCACTGCCAATCAGGATAACGACGCCGCTCTTCTAGCAGAACAATGTATGACGACCCCGGAGACCAAAG